GGGGATCCAACAGCCTCTTCTGTCCTCCGCAGGCATTGCACGACATGGGTGCACTTACCTACATGCAGGCAATACATGAATACACATAAAATAAAAATAATAAATAAATTTTTTAAATTAAAAAAAAATTTTTTTTTGGTCTTTTTGAGACAGGGACCCAGGTGACCTGGAACTCACTATGTAGACCAGTCTGGCCTTGAACTCACAGAGATCTGCCTGCCACTACCTCCCTCTGCTGGGACTAAAGGCATATGCCACCATGCCTGACCAAATTTTTTTTTTTAAAGAGAAAGTAGAGGCCAGGTGTGGTTGCACACACCTTTAATCCCAGAACTCCAGAGGCAGAGGCAGGCGGATCTCCATAGTGAATCCAAGACAACTGGGGCTACAAGGAGACCCTGTCTCAAAAAGACCAAAAAAAAAAGTAGTTAAGAGATGTTGACAGTGTAATTATTGCCTTAAGTTTCTTGAGCTTCCTAAAATCAAATAATAAGCAGGAAGAATAGCTTGTATCAGTTATGTGAAAATTATGCTCACTCTATAACTTAATCCCCAGGAAGGACCAGAGCAGAATACTCATGTGACTCCAATGTGTCTTTTGTACAGATGACATTCTGGAACATGGGACAAGTGCTTTGATTTAATTTCCCAGATTATGAAAGCATGTTCTTAATTCCTTTCAGCTAAAGTTCACATTTGTGTTATGTCTAGCTGGACTTATATGGCTCATGCAGTTATCATTTACTTATCTGATATCACCAGAATGGTGTATAATTAAATTGATCGGCTAACTGAGAGTAAGTTCTGTATGCGTAACTGCCCAGTACAAAGCAGAAAGTGAATGTACCTTTATTTGATGTATCTGCCTACTTTTCTGAATCATTTTCTCTTCTCCCATAATTCTAGTTTAGGAGTTACAAGCTAGCCACTACAAATCAAATTTATCCTGCGGTGTTTCTTTTGTTAGCACTTGTGAACCAATATGATTATGGGGAACATTGTTTGACAGTTCAGAAATAAGTTACGGAAGTAGCCTGGCTCAACTCAATGACTTTGTTTATATTAAAATGACTTTAAAGACTGGGCATGGTGCCGCATGCAGAAGCAGGCAGATCTCTGTGAGATCAAGGCCAACCTGGTCTACATAGCGAGTTCCAGACCAGCTGGGGCTACAAGGAGACCCTGTCTCAAAAAGACAAAAAAAATGGCTTTGATGACTTATTTTGTAATTGATTAACAACAGAGATGAGCCCCTGAATTTTCAGGCTAGGCACCTTGAAAATTACTGTTTGCTTCTTTAAGGGAGCCCAGGCTTTAGTGGGCATTCAGAATTTGCAATTTACTTTTGGGGGTGTTTTGTTGTTGTTGTTGTTGGTTGGTTGTTTTTATTTGCCTTTTGAGATAGGATCTCCTGCAGTCTAGCTGACCTCAAATTTGTTATTTAACCAGGCATGACCTTGGAACTCCTAATCTGTTTGCTACTACCTCCCAAGTGTTGGGATTACAGGTTTCTACCAGGTCTGAATAACTTTTTTTTTGAGACTGACTCACTGTGTAGCTCTAGCTACATCTCCCAGTGTGGGATTATATCATGCTCAGCTCCAGATTACTTTTAGCTCAAGAGATAGCTGATTCAGTTCCAGACATAAATATTCTCAAGTTAAATGTGCTCCCTTGGCTGTTCCGTCAGTGAGGAAAGGAGGCTAAGGCTAAGCTTGATTAACTGAAATATTAAACAGTGATCTGAGCCATTGGTACAAAGATTCAGATTTGATAAAATTTGTTACCAAGATTATTATCAAATTTGCCCTAAACAAAATGTTGGACATCTGACCTGATTTGAATTTTTTTTTTGAAACAGGGTCTCCCTGTAGCCCCAGCTGTCCTGGAACACACTGTGTAGACCAGGCTGGCCTTGAACTCACAGAGATCCACCTGCCTCTGCCTCCCAGGTGCTGGGACTACAGGCCTGTGCCACCACACCTGGCATGATTTGAATTTCCTTATTAGCTAATTCTTGTTCAAATAGCTGGCAAATGGAGGGGAAAACAATCTACTTTCCATATAACAACAGGAATAGATTTTCTAACACTTTTTGCTAAGAGCTAAGAATTTAAACCTAGCCATTACGCTGATGTATTTAAGTATATTAAGCATAAAACACGTTATATAAAAATCTCAGCTGGGCATGGTGGCTCATGCCTTTAATCCTAGCACTTGGGAGGCAGAGGCAGGCAGATCTCTGTAAGTTCAAGGCCAGCCTGGGTCTACATAGTGAGTTCCAGGCCAGCTGAGGCTACACGGAAACCCTGTCTCAAAAAGACAAGAAGAAAAAAACTCTAATATTTTAAAAGATGGTCTGCCTGGCACGTACTTTTAACTTCCTGTGTGGGATGGGACTGTAACTCATTAGTAGAGTGCTTGCTTCTCGTGTACAAGTCTATGGGTTTGATTTCTAGTTCTACAAGAAAGCAACAAAACAAGCCTAACATCAACACCAAAAACTTCTCATTTAACTTTAGATAGATAGATAGATAGATAGATAGATAGATAGATAGATAGACAGACAGACAGACAGACAGACAGACAGACAGACAGACAGATAGATAGATAGATAGATAGATAGATAGATAGATAGAGTGATTTGCTTAAGGAAGAGCTGGATATTGATATAATGTTCATATATTGAACATAATAACGAAAAGTTTGGTTTATCTGTCCGTTTTCCTGGCCAAGTAAAAGTTCAATCTGGGTAATTCGCCAAACTGGTCTCAGGATAAAGATAGGAAGTCTTTCCTGCTTCAAGTTCCTTAGGAATGATCCTTCTATAATGGTGGGATGTTTTATGAAGCCACAGACTGCTCACTACTGCACTCATGTTTAGGTCCTACTTCTCCATGCCCAAACATATAAGAAGCTTGTTAAATCGACAGGATTTCTGGGGAGTGAACAATGGGCAGTGATTCACATTGTAGATCAGCAAATGCGCTTCTACTCATTGGCCTCTTTGTGCTGCTGGGGCCCAGGTTGGTATCTGAGTAAAAAGAGTTGGGCAGTGAAGAGGGCAACTATTGGGTTCACCAAACAATGGGATCTCACCAAAATTATGACTTTAGATTCCTGTCCAACTTGTAAAATAAATGTATTTATTTATTTTTGTTTTGTTTTTTTGAGACAAGGTCTCACTGTATAGCCCTGGCTGGCTATATAGATCAGGCTAGCCTCTTCTTAAATTTTAGAAATTAAGATAAACATATAGTGCAGTAGCAGAAGTTGTAAAGTAGCCAAAGCCACATGTTTTTATTTACTCATCTATGGCTGTTTACTATATTTTGTATCAGTGTTCTTAAAGATTTATAGATTAGGAGCTGAAGAGATGGCTCAGCGGTTAAGAACACTAGTTGTTCTTGCAGAGGACCCGGGTTCAAATCCCAGCACCCATATGGTAATTAACAACTGTCCCTAGCTCCAGTCCCAGGGGATCCAACAGCCTCTCTGACCTCTGCAGGCATTGCATGACACAGATGCACTTACCTACATGCAGGCAATACATGCATACACATAAAATAAAAATAATAAAATTTAAAAATATTGATAGATTACCTTAGTCTTCATTAAAAAAGCAAAAAATCAAACAATAACAAAAAATAGACAAGAGTAAATAAAACATTTAAAAAGACAGACATGCAACCTGTTCTGACAGAACTCAGATGTTAACATCTCCCTTTCCTTCTGTATAAGTTAGTAGTAGAGATCAGATTTGTTGATGTCTATAAAGAGCTTAGGAAATTCTGAAATGCTAAAAAGTATAAATTATAAATTATCTTTCTTTTCTTTTCTTTTTTGTTGGACACAGGGCTTCCCTAGTCCCAGCCTGCCCAGAATCACTATGTAGACAAGGCTGCCCTTGATCTCATGGAGATCCACCTGCTTCTGCCTCTTGAGTGCTGAGATTAAAGGTACATGCCACCACACCCAGAATACATTATTATATTTCTATAGCATACCCTGCCACAATTATCACACTAATATTCTGCAACCTTTGTTTTATTTTTTGAGACAGAGGATCTCACTATGTAGCCCAGGCTGGCAGCCTTGAACTCATATCAGTCCTTCTGCCTCAGTCACTTAAACCCTGAGATTACAGATGTGCCCCACTGCACTAACTGCATAATCTGAAAATTTTAATTGGTAAGAACTATAAATCAGAGGCCAAGGCTCGGAGATTTTCACAACTGATTGGTCTCACTGTGCCCATCATTTCCATTCCTGCAGTGTTCAGTCATGTGCACTAAGGAAATCTGTGCTTTGGGCACTGAGAACTAACCACAGGATTTACACCTTGTGTATTCACAGCTGCCACACTTATGATCACAATGCTGACCAAGCCACAGGACACCATGCTACACATGGCCCTCTATGTGCTCCAGGTAACACCTTCAAAAGCCAAAATCTTTTTTTCCTATTCCTTTGTATTCTATTCTCTTACATTGCTATTATAAATACATTTTCCCTCAATGTATTTATTTGTGCACTGCAAAAGAAAACATATATTATTTATGTTTATTTATGAAGAATATAAAATTTTCCTCAGAGCAAAACAGTAAAAGTGTTTTTGTATATATTCTGGAGCATGTGTATCTCTGAACAACTTTGCTTTATCAATGTGTTAAAGAGATGATCAGGGTCGGGCATGGTGGCACACGCCTTCCTTTAATCCCAGCACTGGAGGCAGAGGCAGGTGGATCTCTGTGAGTTCAAGGCCAGCCTGGTGTACATAGTGAGTTCCAGGAAAGCTGGGACTACAGGGAGACCCTGTCTCAAAAAAAAGATCGAAAAAAAAAAAAAAAAACAGATGGTCAGTAGAAAAACAAGATACGCCAGGGTTTAGTCTTGTGAAACACTTGTAGTGATAATTCTCTCCAGTGCATTAAATGACATATATTAGCTGTTCATAGCAAATTCTGGGTGGTAATATTCTCCCCTTTCCTCTATTATCAGATTGAAGAAAACTAACTATACTTATATAGGATAGTTTCCTTTGAGAAATCAGTAGGTAAGGAGAGGAATTGAAGACTTTTCATTATCCTATGGATATACTAAGAAATATAGCTGTTAGCCATCCACAGCAAAGTATGAATAGTGTGAAGAATTAGTCTAGGAAGACCTAAATATATATTTATCCACATACATGCTTTATAGATAAGGGCTAAGGAGATTATTTCTGGATCTCAGCAAACCTGAAGGATAGGCTCCATCACCTCTCCATCTCCTCCAGGCTCTAACAGCGGTATCCCAGGGTCTGCTCAACTGTGGAATATATGGCTGGACACAGTACAAATTCTACCAACTAAAGCAAGAGTCTCGATGTGATGCGGATACTCAGACACCACTGTTGTGCTCGCAGAAGAGAGTTTACAACAAGAGCCTAGATCCGCTGGAGTCCTCATTTGCTTTTGCTACCAGTTCCTCTATGATTCTTTGAAACTATGAAACTGGAACATCCAGATGGATGAAACAACTGGAGATGTTTCATATGAATGGATTCTGAAGATCTTTGGGAAACCATATCCTCCATTTTTTCTAACCATGACCTAGACTGAAGAACTGAAAGGGAATATAGGGCCATGTTAGTAGCTATTCTAGGTGAATTAGGGAAGATCCTTCTAGTTGCTCTTTCAGGGAGATAAAGCCACTTTCCATCTAATAGACTCACTACCTTGACAAATATTAGATTTGTCTACTACATTTCTTCAAGAAAAAATAAATTTCAGGTTACTGTGTACATGTGTCATTTCCAGATTCTGCTCCACAACTGCAGGGGAAATAGACATGTAATGGCTTGCTCATGTCTGGCCAGTGCTGTTGTACTAATGCTGGGTGTGGGATCAAGGCCTCTCCCATGCTAGCCAGATGCTCTGTTACTAAGTATTCTCCTAGTCCTTAATATTCTTCAAATTATGTGATATAGCAGTTTTTATATAAAATTTTATTTAAAAATAGAAGATTTGGTGGCTGTGTACAACAGGAGTATTCATGGCTAAGCAAAACATCTTCTTTGACCATTACAGCTGTGGCAAGCAGAATCATGTATCTTATTCAAGGTTAGGGTTATTCAAGAGGTAGTAGTGGTGATAGTGGAGGTTGGTCACAGTTGATACAGAAACCACATGTGTAAAGGTTTCAGATCACAGGAAGGCAATGGCAGCAGTAACCACAGCCCAGCCAGTACCAGCATCCTCAGTATTCCTAAAGACAATATTCTTGATCTCTACCAGGCCTGAGGCAGCTATTTGGCTTGTTCCAGGATATAGACTGTCAGTTCAGTGACAGAATGGTATAGAAGCAGGGTACAATGATTGACTGTGATAGCTACTCTGGTGTCTGCATCAGCTACTGAAATGGTGACTGCTGGATTGGGCTCCACTGATACGTGTGGATATTGGGATTCAGTGGGCTCCTCTGGAAGGGTTCCAGGGTCTTGTGTCCCAGAACAAAGAATTTCACAGAGACATATGGAGAATAGCAAGCAAGTGGAATTTATTAAGGAAAGATACCGTTCCAAGGGAGGAAGCAAGCCAGAAGAGAGAATTCATAAACTCAAATGACATTACAAGGATTGGGGCTTTCAAGTCATATTGTGTGAGCTTTTTGGCCCATTTACAGGCCAGGCTTTTTGATTCACATGTATGGCATTGTACTTTGTTGGTGACATGTTCTACATATAACTTCATATATCACATGTCTCATTAACGTCTGAAATGTCCCAGGAGTGCATATTTAGTATTAGAATGAGCCACAGGCTGCCTTCAGACACCCTATAGTGCCTCTTTATATGAGCCAGTAGCCAGATTTAGTCAGTCTTGGCCAGGGTTTTTTTAAGCTTTCCTCTTTCCCAACTTTTTTTTTTCCCATATGCCAATTTTGCAGTCTTTGTGGTAAACATTACAGATCTCATTTTCTTACCTATTCTTCTGCTTTACCGATGCTGTTCTGATGACAGACTGGCCTGGTCAATGAGACAGTTAGTGATTGGCTAAGTGTGGTAGAGGGGCATGATGCCTATCAATCTAATTTCCCAGGATTTTATTGGGGACATACTGATAGAAGTACATTACTGGGCAGCAGCAAGACCAGTGGATCCCCGTGATTTGAGCACTGCATAAACACACTTCCTCTGACCCAAACTCAAAAGTGGCCTTGACAAAAGTGACATGATCTGAGTTTCTTGAGCAGACCCATTAGTTGTTATCTTCCAAGTCAACAGACTTGTGCCAGCAGAAGCAATAGAGAAAGGAAAGAAAAGGCATGTAGACAGCGTAGGATAGAGTCCAGAGGAAAGTCCTGCATTCTGATTTGTGCATTTAGTGATATCCCATCGATAGTGGCTAAAGCCAGAACAAAATTCTGGAAACAAAATTAATGTGTATGTATAGGAAAATAGTTTAAATAACTATAGAGATACTAATATACTATGGAACACAGTAATAACAATAATTTAAGAAAAAATTAAAAAGCAAAACAAAAAGAATATTTAAGATGTGGGGGCTGGAGAGATGGCTCAGCAGTTAAGAACACTGGTTGTTCTTACAGAAGACCCGGGTTCGAATCCCAGCACCCACATGGCAGCTAACAACTACCCATAACTCCAGTCCCAGGGGATCCAACAGCCTCTTCTCACAACCGTGGGCATTGCACGACACGGGTGCACTTACCTACATGTAGGCAATACACACATACACACAAAATAAAAATAATAAATAAAAAAATTTTTTTGGTCTTTTTGAGACAGGGTCTCCCTGTAGCCCCAGCTGTCCTGGAACTCATTATGTAGACCAGGCTGGCCTTGAACTCACAGAGATCCGCCTGTCTCTGCCTCCCGAGTGCTGGGATTAAAGGCGTGCGCCACCACGCCCGGCATAAATAAATTTTTTTAAAAAAAGAATAATTAAGACTTTGGATCCAAAGGAATGAAAAATAATGGGCTTATTTATAAAAGATGGTCCCAAAATACCCATATATATTTGTATGACCATGCAAAACATACGGAAAGTTGTACGGTAGGCTCACAGTGATTTCCAGGAAACAGAATTGAGACCTATAGCCAATTAAGGGGAGAAAGACAGGACATGGTGAGTGAAAGAAAGATGTCATTTTATTAGATGAGAAACATCCAGAATAAAAGGAACACAGGATAGGATCCAGTGGTGTGAAAGTACTTGTGCTTGCACGTTCTGAAAACAGTTCAGAGACTAGGAAATAATGAATACTCAGCATAAACACTTGGAAGACTTCACAGAACATATTCTTCTAAATGGAGTTACCTTACATCATTCTTTTAAAAACTAAATATTTTTATTAACCTTTGAGAATTTCATACAATGTATTTTGATCATGTTCACCCCCAACTCCTTTCATATCCACCCCTACTTCTCTGCCCCCCAATGTGTCCCCTTTTTTAAATTTAATAAGCCATCAACTCCAATTTGTGCTCTTTATATAGTTTGTATGTAATGCCATCCACTGGAGCATGGTTGACCTACTAGGAGCCACATCTTTAAAGAAAATTGACTCTCTCTCCCCCAGAAGCCATCAACTGTTTATAGCTCCTCAGAGGTAAGGGCTCATGAACCCCTTCTGCTCCATCTAGAATATTGACTGGCTTGATGTTGTGCAGGCAATGACAGCACCTGTGACCTTCCAACATTCTTGAACCTCATTCTTTTACCTGGACCCTCAACCCAAGTTTAGTGACACCAAAATCCTTTCTTTGCAGTGGTCAACATCATAGCAAATTCAAGTGTGGATATTACTTTGTCGACATTGAAAACAGTTCAGCTACAATCCAAGTCAAGTGTGTAAATCCTGTCTTGATCATTCTAGAAAATCTTAATGTTCAAGATTTGCTTTTGTATAAAATCACACAAAAAGATTCTATAGAATTTTGCCTATACTTTTTTTACTTTTAAATTTTTTATTATTTTTATTTTATGTATGCATATATTGCCTGCATGTAGGTAAGTGCACCTCTGAAGAGGTCAGAAGAGGCTGTTGGATCCCCTGGGACTGGGGTTAGGGACAGTTGTTAGCTGCCATGTAGGTGCTGGGATTTGAACCCAGGTCTTCTGCAAGAACAACCAGTGTTCTTAACCGCTGAGCCATCTCTCCAGCCCCAACTTTTGCCTATAGTTTTGATTAAACGAAAAATACTGAACCTTTGAAACATAATTATGGTTCATTATGTCCACAGATTTTAAAGACCCATGATCTATTTCATGGGTGGAGTCAAGGCCAAAATATCTAGTCTGTTCTCCATGTAGAAGTAATGAGATTTTCTGTAACATAGTAGATGGTTCAGGGTATACACTTATGGGCTAAGAAAATGAAAGATTCCTCTCTAAACTGCTGAGTAATTACCTGGAGACATATTAGCTATACCATGAAAATGTGATTAAAGACCTCAAGATTGTGAAAGCAGGCTCCAGAGGCAGGGTGAAAACTTATTTTATAGTTATTTACCATTTTACCTATTGATAGAAGTGCTTTCCCCCCCCCCCCTGAAAAAATACTTGACTGAGTCTTGTGTCTCCTATCCCCACTCAACTGTAATGACAAGATTCTATTTCAGAAGTTTAAAGAGATAAAAGTTCTTTTTATTTTCAAATAAATGTAACACTTTGAGCTATGTGTGATAGATCACATCTTTAATCCCAGTACTCCAGAGACTGAGACAGAAGGATCACCATGAGCTTACACAGTGCATTCTAGGCTAGCTTCTGGACTACATGTGTAAGACTGTTTCAAAAACAAATAGAGCAGGCATTATGAACACCTTTAATCCCAGAAATTAGGAGGCAGAGGCAGGAAGATCTTTGCTGCAAGTTCAAGGGCAGCCTGGTCTACATAAAGAATTCTAGGCCAGCCAGGTTTACATAAAGAGATACTGTCCAAAATAAATAAAAACTAACACTTTAACATCATTGTGTGCAGAATTATATCCATCTGTGTTCACAGAATTATATTCATCTGTGCTCACTACATTATCTTATTTTCCTTCAACTGAACCCCAGGCAAGGGAGTATAGTTTGACTTTAGCCTAAGAGGGCAGGCCCCAAAGCTCTCAGTGGGATGAGAAAAGAAAGATGTCAGGAGAGGCCCAAGGGGGGGGGGGAAGGGGAGGGAAAGAGAGGGGGCAGGGAGGGATGAAGGGAGGGAGAGTGAGAGAGAGTGAGAGAGAAATTGAATGATGGAGAGCTGATTCCCCAGGGAGGAGCATCAGTATCTGCAGCATCTGTCTCAAACTATCATTTCCCTTTGTTTCTCTCAAGTCTGGAGACAAATCTAGAATCTGGATGTGACTCTGCTTTGGGGAACTAAGGGAAGTGCCAAATCTTGGCTGACCCAAGACAGCATGAGGAGGACAAGAGGTATAAAAGAGGCAGGGAGAAGATAGCAAGATGTCACTAGACTGTGGGGGAGATCGATGGGCCTTAAGGGGAAACCAACACACAGATTTCTGGACGCCTGCCTCATAATGCTTCAGTCATTCATGAGAAAGGATATACTTTCTAGAAGCAGTCAGTCACAGAACAAAAGAACTTTGTTTTGTTTTGCTTTATTTTATATTAGTCTCATAATGTGGCCTTAAATTTGTCCTTAAACTTGCAGTCTTCTTGCCTTAGCCTTC